GAGATGAAAGTCCGTGTTGCCCAGCGACAGCCCCAAAACATCACTGCTCTAGAGGAGATCTGCATGGAGGAATGGGCCAAAATACCAGCAACAGTGTGTGAAAACCTTGTGAAGACTTACAGAAAACGTTTGACCTGTGTCATTGCCAACAAAGGGTATATAACAAAGTATTGAGAAACTTTTGTTATTGACCAAATACTTATTTTCCACCATAATTTGCAAATAAATTCATAAAAAATCCTACAATGTGATTTTCTGGATTATTTTTTCTCATTTTGTCTGTCATAGTTGACGTGTACCTATGATGAAAATTACAGGCCTCTCTCATCTTTTTAAGTGGGAGAACTTGCACAATTGGTGGCTGACTAAATACTTTTTTTCTCCACTGTATGTGGATAAATTGAAGCAACATCTCAAGACATCAGTCAGGAAGTTAAAGCTTGGTCGCAAATGGGTCTTCCAAATGGACAATGACCCCAAGCATACTTCCAAAGTTGTGGCAAAATGGCTTAAGGACAACAAAGTCAAGGTATTGGAGTGGTCATCACAAAGCCCTGACCTCAATCCTATTGAACATTTGTGGGCAGAACTGAAAAAGCGTGTGCGAGCAAGGAGGCCTACAAACCTGACTCAGTTACACCAGCTCTGTCAGGAGGAATGGGCCAAAATTCACCCAAATTATTGTGGGAAGCTTGTGGAAGGCTACCCAAAACGTTTGACCCAAGTTAAAAAATGTAAAGGCAATGCTACCAAATACTAATTGAGTGTATGTAAACTTCTGACCCACTGGGAATGTGATGACAGAAATAAAAGCTGAATAATCTCTCTCTACTATTATTCTGACATTTCACATTGTTAAAATAAAGTGGTGATGCTAACTGACCTAAAACAGGGAAATTCTACAAGGATTAAATGTCAGGAATTGTGAAAAACTGAGTTTAAATGTATTTGGCTAAGGTATTTAAACTTCGACTTCAACTGTATATACTGAACAAAAATATAAAACGCAACATGTAAAGTGTAGGTCCCATGTTTCATGAGCTGAAATAAAATATCCCAGAAATGTTCCATACACACAAAAAGCTGATTTCTCTCAAATGTTGTGCACAAATGTGTTTACATATCTGTTATTGAGCATTTATCCTTTGCCAAGATAATCCATCCACCTGACAGGTTTGGTATATCAAGAAGTTAATTAAACAGCCTGCTCATTACACAGGTGCACCTTGTGCTAGGGACAATAAATTATCACACAACTCAATGCCACAGATGTCTCAAGTTGAGGGAGTGTGCAATTGCCATGCTGACTGCAATAATGTCCATCAGAGCTGTTGCCAGATAATTTAATGTTAATTTCTCTACCATAAGCCGCCTCTGCGTTTTTAGAGAATTTTGCTGATGTCAACGTTGTGAACAGAGTGCCCCATGGTGGCGGTAGGATTATGGTATGGGCAGGCATAAACTACAGACAACGAGCACAATTGCATTTTATCGATGGCAATTTAAATGCACAGAGATACCGTGACGAGATCCTGTGGGCCATTATCGTGCCATTTATCCACAGCCATCAGCTCATGTTTTAGCATGATAATGCATGCCCCATCTGTACACAATTCCTGGAAGCTGAAAAAGTCAGTTCTTCCATGGCCTGCATACTCGCCAGACATGTCACCCATTGAGCATGTTTGGGATGCTCTGGATCGACGTGTATGACTGCGTGTTCCAGTTCCCGCCAATATCCAGCAACTTCGCACAGCCATTGAAGAGGAGTGGGTCGACATTCCACAGGCCAAAATCAACAGGCTGATCAACTCTATGCGAAGGAGATGTGTCGCGCTGCATGAGGCAAATGGTGGTCACACCAGATACTGATCCACGGCCCAATTTTTTTTTTTTTACCATCTGTGATCAACAGATGCATATCTGTATTCCCAGTCATGTGAAATCCATAGATTAGGGCCTAATGAATATATTTAAATTGACTGAAATCTAATGTTGCAACTATATTTTTGTTCAGTGTACATGTATTCAAATCATATCTGGTATGATGAAACAAAAATCCAATAAGAGTCCTTTGATAGTAAACGTTGATTTCCCAATTTACGCAGTAAATAATAAATAATAATATGCCATTTAGCAGACGCTTTTATCCAAAGTGACTTACAGTCATGCGTGCATACATTTTTTTTTGTGTATGGGTGGTCCCGGGGATCGAACCCACTACCTTGGCGTTACAAGCGCCGTGCTCTACCAGCTGAGCTACAGAGGACCACTCAACCCCAAGGTATCATGGCATCCATGAAAAGGTTGGTTTCTGCTGCTCTGCACGCGCCCCTAAACCCATGTCTATATAGAAGGCGTAAGTATTGGGTCCTATCCCGCTCCTCCCCTTCAGTCTGGACCAGCATGTTGAGAGACTGAAGATCCGTTTAGGTTCCACCCATCATGGTCTCTCTCCGCTATGATCACAGCACCTCCTGGTCCAAAACACAAGGCTGTCTTTTAGAGTTTGACTGGGTACATCACTTTATCCAGGAACCAAACCCATTTCTCCTGCAGGCTTTCCAACTCAACACTGAAATACTTGTTTCATCCAATAAACCTACAGTGAGGGAAAAAAGTATTTGATCCCCTGCTGATTTTGTATGTTTGCCCACTGACAAAGACATGATCAGTCTATAATTTTAATGGTAGGTTTATTTGAAGTGAGATACAGAATAACGACAAAAAAATCTAGAAAACGCATGTCTAAAATGTTATAAAATGATTTGCATTTTAATGAGGGAAAGAAGTATTTGGCCCCTCTGCAAAACATTACTTAGTACTTGGTGGCAAAACCCTTGTTGGCAATCACAGAGGTCAGACGTTTCTTGTAGTTGGCCACCAGGTTTGCACACATCTCAGGAGGGATTTTGTTCCACTCCTCTTTGTGGATCTTCTCCAAGTCATTAAGGTTTCGAGGCTGACGTTTGGCAACTCGAACCTTCAGCTCCCTCCACAGATTTTCTATGGGATTAAGGTCTGGAGACTGGCTAGGCCGCTTCTTCTTGAGCCACTCCTTTGTTGCCTTGGCCGTGTGTTTTGGGTCATTGTCATGCTGGAATACCCATCCACGACCCATTTTCAATGCCCTGGCTGAGGGAAGGAGGTTCTCACCCAAGATTTGACGGTACATGGCCCCGTCCATCGTCCCTTTGATGCGGTGAAGTCCTGTCCCCTTAGCAGAAAAAGACCCCCAAAGCATAATGTTTCCACCTCCATGTTTGACGGTGGGGATGGTGTTCTTGGGGTCATAGGCAGAATTCCTCCTCCTCCAAACACGGCGAGTTGAGTTGATGCCAAAGAGCTCGATTTTGGTCTCATCTGACCACAACAGTTTTACCCAGTTCTCCTCTGAATCATTCAGATGTTCATTGGCAAACTTCAGACGGGCCTGTATATGTGCTTTCTTAAGCAGGGGGACCTTGCGGGCGCTGCAGGATTTCAGTCCTTCACGGCGTAGTGTGTTACCAATTGTTTTCTTGGTGACTATGGTCCCAGCTGCCTTGAGATCATTGACAAGATCCTCCCAGATCTTGCATGGAGCCCCAGGCCGAGGGATATTGACAGTTCTTTTGTGTTTCTTTCATTTGCAAATAATTGCACTGTTGTCACCTTCTCACCAAGCTGCTTGGCGATTGTCTTGTAGCCCATTCTAGCCTTGTGTAGGTCTACAATCTTGTCCCTGACATCTTGGAGAGCTCTTTGGTCTTGGCCATGGTGGAGAGTTTGGAATCAGATTGATTGATTGCTTCTGTGGACAGGTGTCTTTCATACAGGTAATAAACTGAGATTAGGAGCACTCCCTTTAAGAGTGTGCTCCTAATCTCAGCTCGTTACCTGTATAAAAGACACCTGGGAGCCAGAAATCTTTCTGATTGAGAGGGGTTCAAATACTTATTTCCCTCTTTAAAATGCAAATCAATTTATAAAATTTTTGACATGCGTCTTTCTGGATTTTGTTGTTTTTATTCTGTCTCTCACTGTTCAAATAAACCTATCATTAAAATTAGAGACTGATCATTTCTTTGTCAGTGGGCAAACGTACAAAATCAGCAGGGGATCAAATACTTTTTTCCCTCACTGTATCATCAAGACCGATCTTAGTTTAAATCAGGTGGGACAGTGCCGGGCTGGAGTAAGCACACCGTAGCTTTCTGAGACCAGGATTGGTGACCACTGCTCTACACAGTTGCATTAACATTTAATGAAATGTTCACATTATAACATTGTTATTCAAAACACAGGGACAAATCAGATTTTCAAGACAAGCCAAGGCAGAAATACTGCAAACACATGGTTAAAAATAGTGTACACAGGGAGAAAAAAAACACAACAGCTGAATTATTTTAGACAATCATTTATTTCATTATTGAAACAACAATTCAGATAGGAAAACAACGTAGTGTTGTTGTGGTCTCAAAAGTCTCACAATGTAGAGAAAGTGGTCAGTTAAACAATGTTGGTTGTCTGTGCTGTCATGACAGTTTAATGCTACCAGTTCTCACAGTCTCATGTCAGAATTAGAAGTTCATCCATGTTCCTCAAACGTCAAATTTCGACGTTGTTCCAAACATCAAATTTCAAAATGTTTAAGGTTAAGTTTAGGCATTAACGCCACATTTTTATGGTTAGGGTTAAGGATTACGCCCATCCATCATCCCCCTCCACAACACCCCTAGCCCAGCGTTTCCCAAACTTGGTCCTCGGGACCCAAAGGGGTGCACATTTTGGTTTTTGCCGTAACACTGCACAGCAGATTAAAATTATCAAAGCTTGATGTTAGTTTATTATTTAAATCAGCTGTGTAGTGCTAGGGAAAACAACAAAATGTGCACCCCTTGGGGTTGAGAGGACTGAGTTTGGGGAAACCCTGCTCTAGCAAAACCAAAACCTACTTGAAGGTAACAGCGCTCACTATTGTGGCCGGTTTCCACGGCATCTCCCGACGTCCTCAGACATGGATGGACGTCGAATACTGACTTATATCACGGGTGATCTGGCTGGCTTTATGACAGAGATTGCAAGGATTACTGTGAGATGAAAGTCAGCTGCATAGACATACCTCTGATAGTGTCTATATTGCAGTGTTTGAAAGAAATGCCTTCACTGTGGTCCATTGAAATTCACAACATTGTGGTACATTTTTATCATAAATTAAAAGTCTAATTAAACTGCCGTGGTCATTGTGGGGAACAGTAACATGTCTCACAGCCAAGGGAGGTGGCGGCTTCGTAGTCACAGAATCTATCAGAAATAAACCCCTAGCCCAATTTCCCCAACACTTCCTGACCCATTTGAAGATCAATAAGAAATTGATGGGTAAAAGTAATATGGTGGACACACCACCTAGCCCAATGGAGTGAGGCCGTTTGAATACTTCTAAAAAGCGTCCTTCCTTCCTCCCTTTCTTGAAGTAATCGTTGATCTGACATGACAGGATGGATGTAAGCACAGTTTGCAATCACCCATCCCCGCGTCACGTCAGATCAGTGAACAACGTGGTTGGGGCAAGAGTTTGATTTTGGACTGGGGATGTATTTCATTGATTTCATTTTCTTTATTGGTTTCAAGGTTGTTTGACTCCCAAGTCACTCATTGACACACAGGATGGCATCCAGGAGGTTGTGTGTGTGCTTGACGTGCGCTGCGGTGAAGCCATGGCTCCTCAGTAGGAGGCTGTATTCGGAGGCGCTCCTTTGTCTCCCCTCGGTCATACTGAGGGCCTGAAGTAGGCCCCTGCTCGGCCCCTTCCTGTCTTCATCCAAAAAGATCTCACTCACCAGCACGCAGCAGCCTGGGACAGGTGTGGCGTACACAGGATGTATGCATACATAATTTAACGTTGTGCATACAATCAGTATTTACATTAGCATGTGAAAGTCACATTCATAATATGCAATAAAGGCATTTTGAACTCTGATACACAAATTGGACCGGCCGTCAGTCAGTTTGTATAGTTAATTCGTCGTTTTTTTTAATAAGGCAATAATGTAGTATTGTTAAAAGCAAAAACAGTCAGGTACCTAGGCTAGTCAATGAGGTGTGCCCTCTGCTTTTCACTTTTGATTTGCAGAGTTTAACTTGCACTGTTAAAACACTATGCTGTTATAGTCTTGTGGCTCATTCCGTTTAGGCTTGAGCCAACTCCTGTGTTCATTCAAGTTCATAAGAAGTTATTTCATCTGCCTAATAAACTTGTTATGCTTTTTCCACACTGTGATGGGTGGGCAACAGAACAGAACATCGCGTGACTCAAAGTTTACTTCGACATGATGCTTGTTATTATCAATATTTCCATATTAAAGCGTTTCCATCGCAATTGTCACTATCTATTTCACCGTCACTTTCTGACATTTTTTTTTTTTACCGAAAGATTTGCTGTTTTTATCAGGCCTGTTGTGAGTATTTTTAGGAGTCAGGTAATTCATCCACATAAAATTGTTGGATGGAAATGTTATTCTGTTGCTAAATGTATGGCATGACAACAACAGACGAGTTGTCTTTGGCACATGAAGCATGGGACCAGGCTAACTCCGTTATACACAAGCACAAGTGATAAACCAAAAAAACTCTAGCCAATGTGTGAATCATTATCCTTATCAGAATCCAAAAATAGTATTGTTTTTCACTCTTACCAGGATTGCATGCTTTCGCAATTTTACTCAGCAAAAAGTGCACTTTCTCATCAGACCAGTCGTGGAGAATTCTTGCCAAGATGTATACGTCTGCCTTGGGAAGCTCATCTTTAAAGAAATCTCCTGTTCAGACATTAAAAATAAAAAACATTCATTACCAAAGCATTCATTACATTTTACATGTACCCTGCCAGAAAACATATTCATGATCAAAATGATACTTATTGCTAAATGTAAATGTTTTTGTGCATCTACAGAACACATTACCCATGACGATAACAGCATTGTAAAACCATTCCACCCTCTGGAAGTCATTAAACAAACCTGCTACAAAAGATACTCTGTCGTCTGCGTCATGTGGCCGGAAGTGACCGCTCATCTCGATGACTTCGGGTAAGTCGAACATGGTCACAGACAACCCCGGGTGTGCTTTGGCAAACTCATATGCCATGGCCCCAGTGCATCCTGGGTGAAGGAAAAAACACTGATTGGTGGATGGTTGGAATGGATCGATTCTGAACGGCTATACCCGATTCCCTATTAAGGGCATACTTCTGGCCAGAGGCTTTCTAATGTAAAGCACAAAGATAATAACGGAAGGGCCATTTGAGATTTTACTACAATATTGTAGCATTATAATGTGATGGCCATTTTAAATGGAGTTGAGGTTACTATGACCTCACCTCCCAGGTCGCAGGCCGTCTTATATTTGGAGAGGTCAAAGGCCGTCGCCACGTCTCTACCAGAAACCTTTGCGATGCTGTGCATGGCCCTCATGAATCGTAGCTTCACTTCATGTCTGCTGTAGTAGGCGTCCTATAACAATGAACAACATGGACGAAACAAAAACAGAGTTACCACTCCAATACTCTATTCTACAGTGAGAAAACAAAATATTAGGAACACCTTCCTAATATTGAGTTGCACCCCCTTTTGCCCTCAGAACAGCCACAACTCGTCAGGGCATGGACTCTACAAGGTGTTGAAAGCGTTCCACAGGGATGCTGGCCCATGTTGACTCCAATGCTTCCCACAGTTGTGTCAAGTTGGCTGGTGGACCTTTCTTGATACAAACAGGAAACTGTTGAGCGTTAAATATTGCAGTTCTTGACACAAACGGTGCACCTGGCACCTACTAACATACCCAATTCAAAGGCACTTACATATTTTGTCTTGCCCATTCACCCCCTGATGGCACACATACACAATCCATGTCTCAATTCTCTCAAGGCTTAAAAATTCTTCTTTAACCTTTCTCCTCCCCTTCATCTACACTGATTGAAGTGTTTTTTTGTCATTTAGCAGACGCTCTTATCCAGAGAGACTTACAGTTAGTGAGTGCATACATTTTTCACACTGCTCCCCCGTGGGAAACGAACCCACAACCCTGGCGTTGCAAGCGCCATGCTCTACCAACTGAGCTACAGGGGACTAGTGACAACAAGTGACATCAATAAGGGGTCATAGCTTTCACCTGGATTCACTGGTCAGTCTATGTCATAGAAAGAGTGTTCTTAATGTTTTGTACACTCAGTGTATATTCAATTGTTTACTTATAAACAATAATACAAAACCATTCTAGCTGGCGTTAACTGGAGAGCTGCATGAGCTGTACGTTTTAATCCCATTTTAGTGCTTTCACACCTGATACAACTAATCAACGCGTCTCCCACACCTTGACTAGCTGATTCTGTTAAGCTTGGACAAAAAGCCGTACTGTGGCTCTCCAGGAACAAGATTGATCTGTTGAATAACTACCAAGGTAACTGGAATGTGACATGAAACTTGAGATTGTTATTACCTGGAAAATGTTATCGGAGGACTTTCCAAAGGCCTTCTCGTGCTGATTGGTCCCCTCCCTCACGGCGCTCTCCAGATGGGTGAAGAGAGGCCACACCAGTTCGTTACAGTGCTGGATGTACCCCTGCAGAGAGAGGGGGGCATCCGACAGCAGGAAATGCCTGGACATCGCTGTGTTTGCGTACTCTAGGGAGAAATTGGCATGTCAGAATGCATGTCATAAATCGCTCCTTGACACACGCAGCTTAGACGCCATGGACAATGTCAAAATCAAATGAAATTGTATTTGTCACATACACGTGTTTAGCAGATGTTATTTCGGGTGTAGCGAAATGCTTGTGCTTCTAGCTCCGACAGTGCAGTAATAACTAACAGTTTCACAACGTATACCCAATACACACAAAACTAGTAAGGAATGGGATTTAAGAATATATACATATATGGACAAGCAATGACAGAGCGGCATGGACTAAGATACAGTAGAATATTATAGAATATAATACAGTATATACAGTGGGGAAAAAAAGTATTTAGTCAGCCACCAATTGTGCAAGTTCTCCCACTTAAAAAGATGAGAGAGGCCTGTAATTTTCATCATAGGTACACGTCAACTATGACAGACAAATTGAGAAAAAAAAAATTCAGAAAATCACATTGTAGGATTTTTTATGAATTTTTTATTTGCAAATTATGGTGGCAAATAAGTATTTGGTCACCTACAAACAAGCAAGATTTCTGTCTCTCACAGACCTGTAACTTCTTCTTTAAGAGGCTCCTCTGTCCTCCACTCGTTACCTGTATTAATGGCACCTGTTTGAACTTGTTATCAGTATAAAAAGACACCTGTCCACAACCTCAAACAGTCACACTCCAAACTCCACTATGGCCAAGACCAAAGAGCTGTCAAAGGACACCAGAAACAAAATTGTAGACCTGCACCAGGCTGGGAAGACTGAATCTGCAATAGGTAAGCAGCTTGGTTTGAAGAAATCAACTGTGGGAGCAATTATTAGGAAATGGAAGACATACAAGACCACTGATAATCTCCCTCGATCTGGGGCTCCACGCAAGATCTCACCCCGTGGGGTCAAAATGATCACAAGAACGGTGAGCAAAAATCCCAGAACCACACGGGGGGACCTAGTGAATGACCTGCAGAGAGCTGGGACCAAAGTAACAAAGCCTACCATCAGTAACACACTACGCCGCCAGGGACTCAAATCCTGCAGTGCCAGACGTGTCCCCCTGCTTAAGCCAGTACATGTCCAGGCCCGTCTGAAGTTTGCTAGAGTGCATTTGGATGATCCAGAAGAGGATTGGGAGAATGTCATATGGTCAGATGAAACCAAAATAGAACTTTTTGGTAAAAACTCAACTCGTCGTGTTTGGAGGACAAAGAATGCTGAGTTGCATCCAAAGAACACCATACCTACTGTGAAGCATGGGGGTGGAAACATCATGCTTTGGGGCTGTTTTTCCTCCTGGAGTGGCCTAGCCAGTCTCCAAATCTCAACCCCATAGAAAATATTTGGAGGGAGTTGAAAGTCTGTGTTTCCCAGCGACAGCCCCAAAACGTCACTACTCTAGAGGAGATCTGCATGGAGGAATGGGCCAAAATACCAGCAACAGTGTGTGAAAACCTTGTGAAGACTTACAGAAAACGTTTGACCTGTGTCATTGCCAACAAAGGGTATATAACAAAGTATTGAGAAACTTTTGTTATTGACCAAATACTTATTTTCCACCATAATTTGCAAATAAATTCATTAAAAATCCTACAATGTGATTTTCTGGATTGTTTTTCCTCATTTTGTCTGTCATAGTTGACGTGTACCTATGATGAAAATTACAGGCCTCTCTCATCTTTTTAAGTGGGAGAACTTGCACAATTGGTGGCTGGCTAAATACTTTTTTCCCCACTGTAGGTATTCCTCTTGTCCAGATGGGATAGGGCAGTGTGCAGTGTGATGGCGATTGCATCGTCTGTGAATCTATTGGGGCGGTAAGCAAATTGAAGTGGGTCTAGGGTGACAGGTAACGTAGAGGTGATATGATCCTTGACTAGTCTCTCAAAGCACTTCATGATGACAGAGGTGAGTGCTACTGGGCGATAGTCATTTAGTTCAGTTACCTTTACTTTCTTGGGTACATTTCTAGGAAAGAATATGTCTAATTATAGAGGGAGACAATGTGAGAAATTGAAACAGTATACCTTTTCCCGTTCTTTGCAGGAGTCCCAGAGAGACGCAGGCCTCCAGCAGGCGTTCAGTCCCCTTCACAGAGGCTTTGATCTCCTGGGCCACATCCTCAGCCCGCAGCTCCCCTGTCTTACTGCTCCTTAACACGTCAAACACACGTAGCTTGGATGCTGTGAACAACACCTAGGAGACAAAAGAGGGCAAACGCTCATTGAGAGATTAGAGAAGGAAGAGGGGTAATAGAACAATTCAAAATGTTTAAAAGTGGGTATTAACGGAATTACAATGTTTTAACCTACCTCAAGTACAAGTAGTTTGATTAATAAGCCTAAAATTAAAACTTCATGCAACCTGAGCATGAATACATGAACAACATAACACCTAGCAGTATGGGGAACCAAAACACAATAGAAAGTGGAACCCAATGTTTTATTATAGCATATAAATACATATCCATCCACAGGATACCTTTGAGGCTTTGAATCCATCCATGAGCTCGATCATCTTGCTCAACTTTTCTTTCGTCTCGTGCTCCCTCACATTCTGCATGGTACCCCTGCTGGTCAAGTCTGGTGCTGCAGGGTCGCTGATGTCCTGGGGCTCAGCCTCCCTGTTCTCAGAACACTTAGACAGGCTGTTGACCAACGTCCATGGCATCTCGCCCTCTCCACACCCACTCTCCTCCTGCTTTACCTTGATGGATGGATGGATACATTATAAATGGATTCAATTCAATAAACTTTATTGTCCATCAAAGACGCAGGGTCACATGCAACACATTAAAAATTCATTGAAAACACCAACACTGACATACAACAAAAAGTGAAAAGTTAAGTGTTGTGCAATAATTGCTAAGGGCAAGAGACGTATTTCAATGCATTGACATGTGTACTGACATTGTGGGCTGGGCTGGCTGAAGGGATGTTTTGTCCTTGGCTGTCCGGGGGGCCGTTATGGGTTGGGCTGCTGGAGGCTGGCTCGGCTGGAGGGTCCGTGTCGACAGGGCTGCCTTGGGGGCTGGTCTGGGTGCTGTTGTGTGTCAGGCTGCCTGGGGGGCTTAGACCCAGGCTGTTTGGGGGGCTGAAGATGAGACCCAGCTTCTTGCAGAAATGGTTGAGCGGGAAGCCCACCACATTCAGGAAGTCTCCGTGTACGTACTCCACCAGCATACCACCCAGAGCCTGGATACCATAGCCACCAGCCTTGTCCCTGTCACACACATAGACATACAGAGAGACACAGACGCATGCACACACACACACGCACGCACAGAGAAACATACAGGAAGACACACAGACAGAGACACAACACACACACACACACACACACACAGGTCTCACACAAAGTGAGAGACAGAGAGGCCACATAGAAAGACACAGGACACAAAGACACAGGGAACACACACACACACACACACACACAGAGGGGGGCAATCATGTGTCAGGCCATATGGTGTCAGAACTGTCCACGGTATACGAGACCACACAGCAGAACATGCTTCTATGATTGAACTAAGGCTCATTGACCCTCACTCATTTGTTTCAGGCTGAAATTATATGAAAAATCCATACCTTATCTCAATAAAGCTATGCAAACATGGACTTGTTGGCTGTATGAAAGTCCACAAAACCATGGGTTCACAAGGTTTGAATTCAGTGAAGTGACCCCAATTGCCTCTGCGAGAGGTGAGGTTGGGTTCTAAACAAAGAAAAATCTATTGGCATTACACCATAGCCAGTAATGCAAACAGAAGGAGAGGTGAAACTCACATGGGTTCTCCGCTATTGATGTACTCCCAGAGCAAATCATCAGACAGATCTGCAAACTTCACCTTGGTCTCCTCATAGAAGTCAATTACTTGGTAATCAATCTCTTCATCTGGAATAAAGGGAAAGGGGGATACCTAGTCAGTTGTACAACTGAATGCATTCAACTGAAATGTGTCTTCCGCATTTAACCCAACCCCTCTGAATCAGAGGGGGAACACTTGAATATTCCATGACATAAATAAACGTGTACAACTTTAAAGCAGACAACTTCCCAACCTACCCTTTATCTATTTCTTTTTTAAGGCTTACCTTCTTTCTCATGGCAGAGAATGATCGCCACTCCGGTAAAAACACTGTGTTCTTTACCACTCAACCTGTTCAGAAACACAAAAACAAAGAAAAAAAAGGGTTAACCACGTTTTCCTATTATGATGATGATTATTATTTTTTAAATGTACACAGAATTAGCCAGAGGCAAAAGTATCTCAAAACCTAGAAAGCATTCGGTAGGCATCTTGCTTGTCCACTGGCTTCTCAAGAATCAGTCCATCTACTGTCTGAGGAAAGAAGACAACCACACAGTGTAAAGGAGATAATAACCACTATGATATGAAGGATAGAAGACATTGATATAGCTGACTTTGCTTACCACAACAGTGTCTGCTCCGATCACAATGTCTGGAGTTTTCAGGTGTTTCTAGAACAAATTAAGAAACAGCAACCATTCATATGAGGTTTATAGAAGAGGCAAAATTATGTATATATTTGTTTCTTCAGTGAGGTAAGAATATTAACAGACAAGTATGGTAATGATATCGTAATAATAATAATAATAATAATAATAACAGTAAGCAAAGGCTTCACTGACAAATGGCATCCTCTTGGCCACCTCCAGGGCTTTCTGCTTGGCAGTCTCCACAGCATACTCATGGGGCGTTTTGAACAGACTCTTGTCTAACGTTTCCTTGAACCAGGATGGGACAACCTCAAATCGTAAACCCTGTGACATAAATGGAATAACAAGGCATCATCGTCATCATCACCATCAGATACTACATGTCATTACTGTAACTTTGAGGCTCAGTTAGAATCGGCTTTCAAAAAGTTTGCTTTCTTACTCCCTTAACGGAAGTAATCATTGATCTTTCATGACATGGATAGGTGATTGCAAATGTCCAATATTGTAGAAACCTTGCTTTCACCTATTTATCCTAGCAAAGAGGAAGAGGGTAAGGAAGGAGGCCTCGGTCTTACCACATTGGTGAGTATCTCCAGCCTCCTTGGAGACGCACTAGCCAGGACCACCAGTTTACCGGTCAGCTTGGAAATGACAGGATTCATCAACACCATGGTGACCTCCTCACTGCGCATACACAAGTTAAACATTAGGCTACTAGTTCGTCTCTGTCAGCTGTTTGGTGTCAGACGCCTGTGACTTTTCCTTGACATAGCCTACATACCATTTGCGGTCAGACGTCACACTTTACAGCCTACATACAATGCATGTGTTCCATGTTAATGTAATGTATGCAGAGAAAGACAACGAACTAGTGTGTACTGTGGCAGGCTCTGTAGCCCACTCACTGTAATGACATGTGGTAACTGGTGCCCCAAGGCACACATGTAGCCTCTGTCCATGCATTTAATCTACTGAATATGCTTTTGTAGGCTACACATTGTTCTCTTGTATCAATAATACACTGACGTGGAATTTGTGACAATGGGTCAAAGGGCTATCCAAGAATAAACCTATTCATTGACGCTAAATACCTTAGCACCTGTTGACAATATTATCTTCTGGCTGATGGAATTTTGTTGAGAACCCCTACGATCGTTCTGAACGTTAAAAAAACATCGCATGCGGTACGGTTTTGGAAACACAACTTTCATATCAGCTATAAATATTTTTCAAAAAACGAATGGTTAAATTACTTCACACCTTTATAGGGTTATGGTTAGGGTTCCCACACGACCATTTTTCCATGTTACTGTACTTGTTTACGGAAAACAGATGGAAGACAGAGGCATACCTGTGCTAATTAACTAGCTGCATCTCTGAACACGTGTGTAAACAGAAGACATACACCACAAATGTGTTGCCACAGAAAAATGCTGTCTGCTACAACTTTAAAACAGTGTACAGTAACTGTATATTATTTTATTGCGTTTGTGAAATTAAGTAGAGCGCTTTATGTTTATAGAACCATACCGCAATTAAGAATCGATTCAAGTTTAGATGGAGTATTTGGGTGTTTTGGCTGCCAGAGCCAATTCGCCTTTAAACAGAACATGTGAGTTCATTGGACAACCAGGAGTAACGTTAGGCTCCATTTAGTCCATTATTGGGCTATCCTAGAATATGCCATGAATAGACCGAATTATTATGAAAGTTGACTTAGAAGTGAGTTGACAACTTAAAAGGGAACAGGCTGGTTAGTGTTGGTATTGATCATTGCTATTATTGACATGGAAACAAGTAACGTTACCATGTTGCACATTTCACTGATTGGCTTGAGAAACTCTTCCGCAGATCATTCAAGTTCAGTTACAACATCTCAATCCTCAAGAAAGGTTTACAACATGCGGCATACAACCTTGCGCAAAGCTGCATTTAAGTGTAATTCAACAAATTACACTTTGTAATCTACGGTAGCTAAATGAAAAAACATTACCTGCAGGTCTTCCATACGAATCAATTCCTTGTTGCGCTACAAGAAACAACGCATGCGCAAGCATAGCGGAAGAAGAATCGAGAGAATCAGCCTTCTTCTTCGTCTTCTTCTTCTGCTTCTTCTTCTTCTTCCGTGGATTTTATATGGCGGATGGTAACCAACTTTAAGGTGCATTACCGCCACCAACTGGACTGGAGTGTGGACCAGAGACAATTAATGTCCAGATCCTACCCAATAATCTCGTCTCCCCAAGGAAACAAAATACATAATTAAATATTACATCCCCTGAAGATTTCCCCAGCAGTTCACTTAATCCTGGCTCTTCAACCCCATTACTCCTCAAATCTAATAACAATAGCTGCCTTTCTCTCACATATTTCTGGCACTGAAATAGAACATGTTCCACTGTCTCCATCTCCTCCTGACAATGATCACACCTCCCAGTCGGATGTTTCCCCACCACTTTCAATGTACTATTTAGCCTTGTGTGTCCCAGTCTCAGCTTTGTGACTACACTTTCCTCCCTTCTCTCTCGGCCTGAGGACCTCCCTGCCCCCACCTTTTCCTGGATCTTATACAGGTGTCTTCCCTTTCTCTCCCTGTTCCACAACTCTTCCCACTTATTTTTAACCACTGTTCTTATTAATCCCTTGGCTTCTGCTTCACTGATTGACAATTCCATCTCAACATTAGGATTTTTAAGAGCCTGCTTGGCAATAATATCCACTTCCTCATTCCCCTCTACTCCCACATGAGCTGGTACCCAGAGGAACATCGCAAATACCCCCATCTGTTTCACCCTATACAAACACTGCAAAACCTCATACAATACATCCTGTCTGCTCTGAGACACACACGAATTGAAGCTCATCAGTGCTGCACAGGAGTCAGAGCAGATGACTACCCTGTCTGGCCACACCTCCTCCACCCACTCTGCAACCAATAGTATGGCCAACAACTCCATTGTGTAAACAGATAAATGATATGATGCTCTTTTCGTCACTGCCACCTTAAACTCAGGAACACTAAAAGCTGCCCCTGTCCTCCCTGTTTTAGGGTCCTTAGATCCATCTGTGAATATATTCAAGAAAGCATAGTATTGTGTTGTTAAATGTTCACTTACAACTGAATCTACTCCTTCCTCAACATCTCTTACCCTCTCAAGCAACCCTAGATCTATCACTGGTTGAGGGAGAAACCAAGGTGGGATAGCAGGAAGAACCACAGAGGGGCTAAAGTCCCTCCCAAACAACGCCATCTCTCTCGCCATGCAATTGCCTATCCACCCAAAGCTTGTATTCAGATTGTGTTCATGTTCCCAGCACTCTAGGAGCACCTTTTTTGTAGGATGTGTAACCATATGTCTTTGTAGATTTACCCAAAATATAATGGCTAGCTGTTGTCTTCTTAAGGTCCTGAGTGCTCCACAACATATTCTTAGGGCTTGGGCCTGGATAACATCTAGCTTTTTTAAAGATGTCTGAGCTGCTGATCCATATGCTATACTTCCATAATGCATTGATGACCTTAACAGCGCTATATATATATCATGTTCAACGCCATTCTATCTGCCCCCCACTCCATTCCTGACAAGCAACGCATCACATTCAATATTTTCTTTCTTTTGACAACTACTCTGTTAATATGCTCCACCCATGGCATTTGAGTGTCAAACCAGACCCCCAGGAACCTAAACCCTCCCACCCTCTCCAGATTCCTTCCATACAACTTCCAGCATATTTCCTCCCCAACCTTCCTTCTAGAAAACACACAGTCTGTGTTTTCTCAACTGAAAACTTGAAGTCCCCACCTGAGGGACCACTGCTCTACTTCACTAATCGCTTCTTGAACTCTTCTGGCTGTATGGGTAATATTTCTCCCTCTCTTCCACAGCGCTCCATCATCCGCAAACAATGACCTCCCAATATCAGGTCTCACCTGAGAGAATACATCGTCAATCATAATGGAGAACAACCAAGGACTAATGACACTTCCCTGGGGGGTACCATTATCCACCTCATAGCTTTCTGACATAGAGCTCACTTGTATTGATCGCCCAAAAAGACAATTCTTTATCCAGTTAAAAACCCTTCCTCCAACCCCATGTTATCCAGCTTGATAAGTAGGCTTTCCTTCCACATCATATCATAAGCCTTCTCTACGTCAAAGAAAACAGCTACCACCACCTCCTTATTTGCCTGTGCCTTCTGTATGACTGACTCAAGGCACAGTACAGGATCCATCGTTCCCCTGCCTTTCCTGAACCCACTTTGATCTGGTGACATTAGTCCTTTACTCTCCAGAAAGTAAGTCAGCCATTCCGTTATCATCCTTTCCATAAGTTTACATACGTGAGATGTCAACGCTATCGTTCTATAGCTTAAAGGACTAGTAGGGTCTTTCCCTGTTTTCTGTATTGGCACCACCACAGCCTGCTTCCAACCTCCAGGCAGTTTCCCTTCCTGCCACACCTTGTTGTAAAGGCCAAATACTTCCCCCATTGCAGTGTCACTGAGATGAGTCATCATGAGGTAACACATCTCATCCTTCCCAGGAGATGTTACCCCAGCTTTAGCTAATGCTCTCTTCATTTCAGCCGATGTAAAAGTGCTATTCAATGTATCCCCGAGAGAATCAGCCAATTGTATGACATATTTTTGCGCTTCATCATAAAACGTGCAGTTTCCTACCAGCCAGCAGAGGGCGTACATCAAGTAAGAGTAGAATGAATGGAGTCAATGGAGATTTATGGCAATCTGGCCTCATGCATAAACAATGCTTCAGAATATGGATTATACCACTTTGCTTTCTAAACCATTGTGCTGTCTTTGTCTGCTTGTAATGCTTTATTAATAGAACAGCTATGCACCTATGTTGAGCATTATAATGCCAGTATGCATAGCCCATGAGACATAAAAATGTACTCATCATGAAGAGGGTGTTCATAGAAAGTGTAATGGAAATATCAAGATATTACTGAGTGGATACTATAGTGGATATTATAAGTGTACTCCTAGATATAAAGAAGTGGACATCCTTTTTTTCAAACAGACAAATGCTCAATTCAATCGAGGCACAGGAAATCTCTATTGGATAGTTTTATTTAACTTATTTTCAAATCTCTTCATGAAAACAAACAACAAACAGAAGGAAGGTGTCTTAACAAGAATGTGATTTTACTGTCATGTGGAGAAAATATCTAAGGCATGTTACACATATCTATACCATAACATACTGCAGTTCAGGCATCAGCTGAATCCAACAGTTCACAATTTGGTAGAAAACCATGCAAACAGTTAGAAAACGTAGAGACTTTCAACAGCATCAACTCAGCACCTTTAATGTTATTTTGCCTCCTTTTCATCGTGACATGTAAGGGCCAGAAGTTTTTGTTGAATAATTATGTTCTTCTTGGCTCAAGTGTGAAAATACTGCTTTATAATAGACAGCTCACGTCACCTTATGTTTCCTAACACAAATAGCTACTGTCTATGACATCTAGAAACATGATGATGTAAGAATTGTCATAAGTCACATTATACAAGAGAACAATTGACAAACCTAAACATTCTCCTCTCTGTCTCGTATCACACACTCAAACGCTGAAACGTACACGCACATACGCACACACAATTATTTGCTTAACAGATTCTAAAGGTTCTACATCCAACACTGCAAATACATTTTGAATATCTTAAATAGAATTCTCACTACTTCATATATTTTCTTTGTGATAAAATCTATAGACTTTCTTTTAAAAACATCCCAGTCAAATGGAATCACTAAAAAGGCGTAGAAATATGATCTCACTTGATGAGGTATTCCTTCACAGGCAAGTAGTAGACAGACACATAAGGGAAGTTTCCAGAACACAGATTAATTTTAGCCCTGGACTAAAAAGCTTCTCCGTTGACCATGCTTTTTTATTCCAGGACTAGGCTTAATCTGTGTCTGGGAAACTGGCCTATAATGTGCTGCCTCAGGTACACTTCTCATTAAAACAATGACATAATGTCTCGTGGAATATACAAAATATAACTATAATATATATAACTGTTATCAGGCAGTGGTTTCTGAAATGAGTGAATGTACCAGACATATGTAAACACCACAGATGAAGTATCCTGTCATGAAACAACTGTACATATAGGGTAAAAAAAAAGCATCATGATTATTGTGCTATTGTACCCAAGGGTGACACAACATGGGAATAACATACAGGCAAGAAACAAACAACTTCCTTTAGCTTCGGTCCCGTCATGCTTAGAGAACATTCTGTATACTGTGATGTACAGTATACAACCAAATGGGAACACAATGAAAATGTTTCCATTATGTTCTGGGAATGTTTGATTTTTGTTACCCTCCTCCTCCTGTCAGGGGCGGGCCAATCTTACAAGCCTTCCACAAAGGTTTTGATGCAGAAGTGTCGGAAAGTTCAAATGATTTGAACTGTGAGTGCAGCTCCGTCAACCCCAAAGCCTTGCACATGAGTGCTGTTCGGTAATGCACAAGCCTACCATCTGGCAGCCCAATACGCATAAAGATTGTGAAAGGCCTATCAGAGCGACGGACTGGACTACGGACTGGACTAATCTTCGCTGCTCTTCTCCGAGCCTGTTCCCATGGCGATGGCCTCGTAGCAGCGCTCCGCGGCAATGTGTTCTGGCGACTGGCGGACGGGGAGCTCGTAACCTTTGCTCGCCGAGCCCATGCATTTGCGAGTGCCAGGCTGGTAGAGCTGCATGGCCGGTCGGTCCTGTATGGAGAGGAGGCAGGAACACGGGAGAGAAAAGCCACACAATCTGGGTCACAACAACAACAACACAAAATGGCTGCTAAACTATCAGAGTTGTTTTGCTGGCCACACATTGAGCCTAGTTCTGGATTAAAAAGTGATTTCAATCTCCATTGAGAGTGCTTTTAAGTCCAGGACTAGGTTTAATCTCTGTCTGGGAAACCGTCCCTAAGAGTGCTATTTACAGTAAGTGAATAACGTTCATTCTGACAGAGGACAGAAAGAAAATTCAACCTGTCTCATGGAAGTTTACTGTAAGATTCTGATAATGTCAGAGTTTTTTGTCTATTCTGTACAGTACAAGATCTATATTTGTATCGTTGAGAATGGGACTCTCTATATTAATTTATTAATTAAACGACTTTGGGTAATTAAAAAGCTCTATATAAGTCCCAAGTATTATTATTAGGGGTTCATCACCGAAGCGTGAAACCCTATTGTACTTGTTGGCATTGATTATTAGGGGTTCAAGCAGTGAAGCTGGAGATATTTATTCTCGGTCAATATAATTATTATACCAATTCTGCCAATTTGGTGAAAAAAAGCAAATTCCTGTGAAATAGTAAGGCCTAGGAGGAAAGGGCCATGGGCCACACCCTCTCCTGCAATGCCATTAGCCACATTGTGGCGCTATAACAAGCGATTGAAAATGCTAACTTTAAAAGGTCACGCCCCTCACCCCATAATTCGGTACATAGGTCCCTCTCCTCACAAGGAACAAATTTGCCTCAAGAACCCATAAGGTCCACCATAATGGATTTTCCGCCATTTTGAATTTGGTGAAAAACACTTAAATTACATCTACTCCGGAACCACTGGGCCAGGTTAGCATCTCAAACAACAAGGCGTGGTCTGGCACATAAATGCATATAAATCACACACAGATATTCGTATTGTAACTAAACTTGATACACATGTTCCAAACACTGTCAAAACTCAACATATGCAAGCACATTGAGATCAACCACATGGTGGTGCTATAATGGGCACGTTTATATCTCTTGATCTGTTTGACTCAGAGTGATAAAACGTAGCACAAATGCTCAGGGATATGAATCTAGCTAACCTGTAAAGTATGGGTCAGTTGGACTGCATTGTGGCACTGTTGGACAAGAAAAAATATTCATGCAAGCTTATAGTGGCCATATTGTTTCAGCTACAGTCTTGGAAATATTGAAGATATGCATCCATAGATGCTATATAACAAATTTGGTGCCGATCGCTCCAGTGGTTCTGGAGAAGAAGGCATTTAAAAGTAGTCAACATCATCGTTTTTTTCTCCAAATGACATCAAAAGCATATTGTTAGATGTTGATCTGTACTAGCAGATGCCCCAACCACCGGCCCCCACCTATCAGACCCGGGTTGAAAAAGTATTTTGTCTTTCTTTATCTGCTTTTAACTGAGCTTGCCTGGTGCAATACATTACTCCCAAAAGTGCAAACCCTGCCCATCTGGCACCCCAGGTAGGCTCAACCAAACACCCAAGGTATTTGAAAGGCTGCAAATACTATTTGCTAATTGAACCCAGGTATGCCTATGTAAACAGGACCCATGGGTAGTTGTACATCTGTATTTTGATACACCCTCCCACTACTTTGTGTGCCCCCCCCCCCCCCCCTCATCCCCCATGTAGAAAGCCTAGCTGTAGCTGTACCTTAGCTGGTAGTGGAAAGGCTAGCTGACTGTACCTTGTTTGGCAGAGCCCCTCCTATCTGGTGTGGCCCCTCTGACTGGGACGTCCCTCTGTCCTGATGGGCTAACACAGACTGAGAGACACGAGCCTGGATCAATGGGAGTTACGTGCAGATATGTAATGTTTGGATGTGTGTTCTTATTTGTAGTGCATATGTACTGTAATTCTCACTGTTTTCAACACAATGTAGGATGACTGTACATTTACATTTTAGTCATTTAGCAGACGCTCTTATCCAGAGCGACTTACAGTTAGTGAATACATATATATATATTTTTTTATTCTCCCCCCCGTGGGAATCGAACCCACAACCCTGGCGTTGCAAACGCCATGCTCTATCAACTGAGCTACATCCCTGCCGGCCATTCCCTCCCCTACCCTGGACGACGCTGGGCCAATTGTGCGCCGCCCATGAGTCTCCCGGTCGCGGCCGGCTGCGACAGAGCCTGGATTCGAACCAGGATCTCTAGTGGCACAGTTAGCACTGCGATGCAGTGCCTTAGACCACTGCGCCACTCAGGAGAGTACATACGATAATCTTAAGCTGTAAATCATCATCTTGTGCACAATAAAGTTGTATTGAAATAAAAATGTCTCCACTGCACTATAACAGTATAACACTGTCTGTCTTCACAGCTGACGAAACACAGACTTGGGTATACAGTTGAAGTTTACATACACTTAAGGTTGGAGTCATTAAAACTAGTTTTTCAACCACTCCACAAATTCTTAACACACTATGGTTTTGGCAAGTTGGTTATGACATCAATAAAAATTAACCTACCCCAACGCCTGACCCTCTCTTGCTCACCTTGTCGCTCACCTTGTTCCGGGTGCGGTCCTTCCTGCTAGCGCCAATGCCCTCCCTGTCCTCCTTGCCCACCTTGTCGCCCGTGCCAGGGCAGTAGGAATAGGAGCCGTGGTGGTGGCCATCTTTCTTGGCCCGGTCCTGGCAGTAGCCTTTGCCCCACTTGGTCTCCTCCTTGCGCCGCATGAACTTGTCAAACTCGAAGTGGTGGCGCTGTCGTTTCCTCTCCTCGTCTCTTCCTCTGTGGTCTTTGTCTCTCTGCCTGCGGCCATGTTCTCCCTTATCGCTCTCCATCTGACCCCTAGTGGCAGGAAGGGGAAGCACAGTTAGAATGGTTATCACACTGGAGGGTTGTGGTATCAGTTTAACATCTACGGGATCGGTGTCCCGTATACGGGGCGGTTGAACTAACGTGCGCTAATGTGATTAGCATGACTGTTGTAAGTAACAGCAATATTTCCAGGACATAGACATGTCTTATATGGGCAGAAAGCTTTGATTCTTGTTAATCTAACTGCACTGTCAATTTACAGTAGCTTTTACAATTTACAGTAACTTGTTTGAGGAGAGTGCACAACAACAAAAAACTTATCACGGCAACTGGTTTGATACATTGACCTCTGAAGGTAAATGTTGTACTTACATCAGTAATCTTGCTCTGATTTGTCATCCTAAGGGTCCCAGAGATCAAATGTAGCATAGTTTTGTTTGATCAAATTCATTTTTATATTCCAATGTAGGAACTGGGCTCCCGAGTGGCGCAGCGGTCTAAGGCACTGCATCTCAGTGCTTGAGGCGTCACTACAGACCCCCTGGTTCGATTCCAGGCTGTATCACAACCGGCTGTGATTGGGAGTCCCATAGGGCGGCGCACAATTGGCCGTCCGGGTTTGGCCGGTGTAGGCCATCATTGTAAATAAGAATTTGTTCTTAACTGACTTGCCTAGTTAAATAAAGGTTACAAAAAAACAACAACAATAAAAACAGTTTGAACCCCTGCTGTCTCTGGCTACACACTCACTCCGCCCGGCCATCTAGATGTGTGAAAGTTAGTGTATAAGCTAATGATTCATTATGTATGACATTCCTGGGAGTGTGTAAACATATTTTGCATTACCATATCATTTTTGTATGTTCTCTATAGTTATGTACTTGATAATGTATCAATTGACCAATTCGGCACATTTGGGCAGACTTGATACAAAATAGTCCAGTATTGCAACGCTTCACTGGATCAATTTGAACTTTGCACACACACACTGCTGCCATCTAGTGGGCAAAATCTAAATTGCGCCTAAACTGCAATATTAAATTGTGGCCTTTCTCTTGCATTTCAAAGATGATGGAACAAATTTTGTTTTGAAAACACATGTTTTTTTGTTTGTATTATCTAATGTGTTATATTGTCCTAAATTAATGTTCAAGTGTTTCCTTTCAAATGGTATCAAGAATATGCATATCCTGAGCTACATGCAGTTAGATTTGGGTATGTCCTTTTAGGTGAAAATTGAAAAAAGGGTCCGATCCTTAAGAGGTTTTAAGACCTTGGCCCTGAATAGAAACATTGATTTTGTAAAGGTAAGGTTGTAGGTGGGTCATGGCCAAAGTTGGCATCCCACTGTGATAAGGAAGTTTCACTCAAAGTAACGGCCCTTTCTCACCAAGTTTGTTATTTTCGTCCAAATAATTAGGATGAAATAAAGAAATACGAGCACATGTCTTCTTTATGATGCATTCACATCAATTGCGAAATCCAGCCATTCCTGCACACCATTTTTATTTTATTTTTTATCTGTATTGTTGTCTATCACTTATTTTCTTTGGTGCTAATAAATAAAACAAAAAATAATAAAACTAAAATATCGTCCTGCTGCAATCTGTCAATTATTTATTCAAACTGGATTGACTTTTGTGTCTTTTCACATGCAAATATAGACAGGTTGGTTGATTAGCAACAAAACCACTGCGTGCACAACTATGGAGCAAAACAGACGGTTGGCTTAGATTGTTGACAATATGTGAACTATATTTAATCTCCAAATGTTTATTGAAAACATAAATACATTTGCACAATGAGCACTTGTCTCTCAAATAGATCGTTACAGTTGATGGTTAGCTAGCTAGCGAATTTTAGCCATATAAGCATTAACATGAAATCAGTCAAAACACCTCACAACAAGACATGGTGTCAAGAACAAGATAAAACTAGCTGAAATGAGCCACCTACGATTCCCCACATGGCAGACCTTGTCATTTTCGCTAGCTATCTGACTGTTCAGAATCATAACAAAGCACGGCTTCCGGCCACAAATCATTTGCGTGCACTTGTCAGCCAACCGTCTATAAGCTGTTGACCAATATAAATTGCTATCTGGGACACTGACACTGACAGGTCTGTGGGTTTCGTTGTGTGAATGAATTAATCAATACATTTCTCTGCCTGCTTTTTACATTAGCAATGCATCAGCGCAGCAATGTATAAATTTAGCCAATGTGATCACATCACACCCGAGCTACACGTCGATCTCGCCATTCAAACTTCCCTGCCAGTTCATTGCCAACGCTGTAGCCTATTTTATAGCCATTTAGCAAGCAAGAGGATTGATCTATGCTTCTCTCCTCGAATAGGCCTAGGCCTATTAGGTTTTAAAAATTGCTTGAAATAAGTTAAAAACTATATTGCTGTTCATTGTCAATGTATAGGCTACTCATTCAAGCACTAGAGAGGGGGGGAAGAGATAGTCGAGTTGCCAGCGGAGATGCGTGAATTGCGCATGAACGGAATATTAAAGAAGGCAGAGAGATGTGTAAGTAAGACATTAATTAAATGCTTACTTACAGGCCTTTCCCAACAATGCAGAGAGAAAGAAAATAGAGAAATAATAGAAAAGTAATAACACGTAATAATAAAAGTAATAATAAATACACAATGAGTAATGATAACGTGGGTATATATACAGGGTACCTGTACCGAGTCGATGTGCAGGGGTATAATAATATATTAATGAATCATTCGTATAGCCTATACAGTTGATGTTGGAAGTTTACATACACTTAGGTTGGAGTTATTAAAACTCGTCTTTCAACCTCTCCACAAATTTCTTGTTAACAAACTATAGTTTTGGCAAGTCGGTTAGGACATCTACTTTGTGCATGACACAAGTAATTTTTCCAACAATTGTTTACAGACAGATTATTTCACTTATAATTCACTGTATCACAATTCCAGTGGGTCAGAAGTTTATATACACTAAATTGACTGCACCTTTAAACAGCATGGAAAATTCCAGAAAATGATGTCATGGCTTTAGAAGCTTCTGTTAGGCTAATTGACATAATTTGAGTCAATTGGAGGTGTAACTGTGGATGTATTTCAAGGCCTACCTTCAAACTCAGTGCCTCTTTGCTTGACATCATGGGAAAATCTAATGAAATCAGCCAAGACCTCAGAAAAAATATTGTAGGCCTCCACAAGTCTGGTTCATCCTTGGGAGCAATTTCCAAATGCCTGAAGGTACCATGTTCATCTGTACAAACAATAGTATGCAAGTATAAACACCATGAGACCACGCAGCCGTCATACCACTCAGGAAGGACACACGTTCTGTCTCCTAGAGATGAACGTACTTTGGTGCGAAAAGTGCAAATCAATCCCAGAACAACAGCAAAGGACCTTGTGAAGATGCTGGAGGAAATAGGTAAAAAAGTATCTATATCCACAGTAAAACGAGTCCTATATCGACATAACCTGAAAGGCCGCTCAGCAGGGAAGAAGCCACTACTCCTAAACCGCCATAAAAAAGCCAGACTACAGTTTACAACTGCACATGGGGACAAAGATTGTACTTTTTGGAGAAATGTCCTCTGGTCTGATGAAACAAAAATATAACTGTTTGTCCATAATGACCATCGTTATGTTTGGAGGAAAAAGGGGATATCTTGCAAGCCGAAGAACACCATCCCAACCGTGAAGCACAGGGGTGGCAGCATCTTGCTGTGGGGGTGCTTTGCTGCAGGAGGGACTGGTACACTTCACAAAATAGATGGCATCATGAGGAAGGAAAATTATGTGGATATATTGAAGCAACATCTGAAGAGATCAGTCAGGAAGTTAAAGCTTGGTTGCAAATGGGTCTTCCAAATGGACAATGACCCCAAGCATACTTCCAAAGTTGTGGCAAAATGGCTTAAGGACAACAAAGTCAAGGTATTGGAGTGGCCATCACAAAGCCCTGACCTCAATCCTATAGAACATTTGTGGGCAGAACTGAAAAAGCATGTGCGAGGAAGGAGGCCTACAAACCTGACTCAGTTACACCAGCTCTGTCAGGAGGAATGGGCCAAAATTCACCCAACTTATTGTGGGAAGCTTGTGGAAGGCTACCCAAAATATTTGACCCAAGTTAAACAATTTAAAGACAATGCTACCAAATACTAATTGAGTGTATGTAAACTTCTGACCCACTGGGAATGTGATGAAAGAAATAAAAGCTGAAATAAATCATTCTCTCTACAAATTTTCAGACATTTCACATTCTTAAAATAAAGTGGTGATCCTAACTGACCTAAGACAGGGAATTTTTTACTAGGATGAAATGTCAGGAATTGTGAAAAACTGAGTTTAAATGTATTTGTAAACTTCCGAATTCAACTGTAGCATAGGCCTGCTAAAGTGAATCTAGGCAATCACCTTTGCTATAAGCAACCCTAAAAGAGAAAATCAATAAATGGTTGCACAGATTTAGATAAAGCCCTCAAATTAAAATGAAGTGTCAACATAACCACCCATTGCTTCACTAAAACGGCTGATCATTAGACTATGGACAGGTTGCATGCATGTGTTTCTATTTTCTAACAGTTGTCAATTTCCTGTTAATATAGCCTATATCACATCTGTCTCTATATCTCCCCGTTAAAACGTTCCTCATCAATTTGAATGATAGGCTTCATTGATTGAGAATTATTCTGTAATGTAGACTAGTTTTTGATATCCAACAGAAATTATTTGAAGTTAATGGAGAAATGTGATTTGCTTGTCTGAGCGAGATGCGCTGCAGGAGGCTTTGATTGATGGGTCATTCTAGGTGGGTGGGTATGCGTGTAGCCTATGAGTTCGCTAATTCTCTTTGTCCATTCAGAAAGTTTCCTAAAATAGGCCTACCCTGTCTGGACTTCATCACTTTAATCAGATAGAAAGAAAACTGTAGGCAGCAAGCGTCATGATGGTCAGCATTCTGTATGTGTGAGGAATGATGACAGGTGCCAGTTTTGTGTTTCCTGTCTTATTAAATGTGCCACTGAATGAAACGTAGCCAATAATATACTATTGACTCATGATTCATCCTATAGATGAATACCCTATCCTAATAGTTTCAGTAGCATATTGTTTTTCCAGTAGTGTATTATTTTTCTCATTACTGCATCCTCTCTAGCCACTATGAACAGCATACCACTGTTGTGTCGTCGGCCTGGTCGGGTAAGCTTGGCGTCGGGTAAGCTTGGCTTTACACATAGCTTGGGCTTTGTCGAGTAAGGCTTAAGCTATGTATTTAGATTGTAGTTAGGTATTGTAGGTAGTTATTGTGGGTTGTTGTATGTAATTATTGTAGGTTAGTATTGTATTCGGCTGTGCCCAGCATAGCCCAGCGTAGCCCAGCGTAGCATGAAGCTAGCTAGCTAACCCACCACCGGGACTAGCTGGCGAGTAGCTATTAGCAACGGTATAGTTATTTCACGCCTGAGAGTGCCTGTAATAACGCCAGCTGGCTGCCTACAATCATTACATACAATAATTGCCTACCATTCAGCTGTTTCCTAACCTCATTGTCTGAAGCGTTAACGTTAGGTAGCAAGTGGCTACAGTGCTTGAAATATTAGCTAGCTTGTTGCTACCTGGATAGCTACTAGTAAACAATAGCTGGAACGACCGTGTGAACAGACGCGAACTGGCTGAGTCAATTCAGTGGCTAGCTTTGCACTTGGCTAGCTAACAGTAGCTGCTAGGGGTAAGTCATAACCTACATTTGTGTTTTGTTTTTTACATATTGATAGCCCAAGTCGTTCAAGGAAATTTGGGACATGGGTGACTAGTTAACGTTAGTTTGGCTCTCTCTGTGTGTTCGTGCCGTGAAAGGAGGGGTTCTTCTTTGTCTGAGAGCAATGGCTAGCTAGTTTGCTAACTATTCTAGCTAACTAACTGGCTGAATAAGGTGATGACGGACTCGCTCAAGCTGTCGGGACTAACCCACAACGTTAGACACGGACACGAACGATCTGCTTGCGTGTTGATACACTGGTGGTTTGTTGTGGCAGAGTATTGGCGCTGGGCCGTGTTGCTGGAGTCCGGCATGCTAGCTGGCTGTGGCGTCATATGACTTGATGCCCGGACGGTTTTCACGGAATAGTGCTGCACCTAGTTAGCTAGCTGAATAAACTGAGTTAGTCTGTTCCTGGAGACATTGAACCGCTGTAGTTTACAACAATTATAGTTTCTGAGGTGGAAGCTGGGATAGTTATATTTGGGAGTTGTGCTGAGGGAGGCCCCGCTCTCTCCTTTCCCAGATGTTTAGTTCATTTCATTCCGATCTCCTCTGCATTATTGTAGCCATTTGCTGCAGCCTGTCAACTATGCCTCTGCCTATCCCTGTTCTCTCCTCTCCGCACAGGCTAAACAAACGCCTCACACCGCGTGGCTGCTGCCTCTCTAACCTGGTAGTCCCTGCACGCACCACCCACCTGGAGTTCCAGGTCTCAGGCAGCCTCTGGAACTGCCGTTCTGCTGCCAACAAGGCAGACTTCATCCCAGCCTATGCTACCCTCCAGTCCCTCGACTTCTTGGCGCTGACGGAAACATGGATTACCACTGAAAACACTGCTACTCCTACTGCTCTCTCCTCGTCTGACCATGTGTTCTCACATACCCCGAGAGCATCTGGTCAGCGGGTTGGTGGCACGGGAGTCCTCATCTCTCCCAAGTGGACATTCTCAATTTTTCCCCTAACCCATCTGTCTATCTCCTCATTTGAATTCCATGCTGTCACAGTCACTAGCCCATTTAAGCTTAATATCCTTGTCATCTATCGCCCTCCAGGTTCCCTTGGAGAGTTAATCAATGAGCTTGACGCCTTGATAAGTTCCTTTCCTGAGGATGGCTCACCCCTCACAGTTCTGGGGGATTTCAACCTCCCTACGTCTACATTTGACTCATTTCTCTCTGCCTCCTTCTTTCCACTCCTCTCCTCTTTTGACCTCACCCTCTCACCGTCCCCCCCTACTCACAAGGCAGGCAATACGCTTGACCTCATCTTTACTAGATGCTGTTCTTCTACTAATCTCACTGCAACTCCCCTCCATGTCTCCGACCACTACTTTGTATCCTTTTCTCTTTCGCTCTCCTCCAACACTACTCACTCTGCCCCTACACAGATGGTAATGCGCCGTCGCAACCTTCGCTCTCTCTCTCCCGCTACTCTCTCCTCTTCCATCCTATCATCTCTTCCCTCTGCTCAATCCTTCTCCCTCCAATCTCCTGATTCTGCCTCCTCAACCCTCCTCTCCTCCCTTTCTGCATCCTTTGACTCTCTATGTCCCCTATCCTCCCGGCCAGCTCGGTCCTCCCCTCCAGCTCCGTGGCTTAATGACTCATTGCGAGCTCACAGAACAGAGCTCCGGGCAGCTGAGCGGAAATGGAAGAAAACTAGACTCCATGCGGACCATGGCATCTTTTCACTCCCTCCTCTCTACATTTTCTTCATCTGTTTCTGCTGCTAAGGCCACTTTCTACCACGCTAAATTCCAAGCATCTGCCTCTAACCCTAGGAAGCTCTTTGCCACATTCTCCTCCCTGCTGAATCCCCCCCCCCCCCCCCCCCCCCCTCCTCCCTCTCTGTGGATGACTTCGTCAACCACTTTGAAAAGAAGGTTGACGACATCCGATCCTCGTTTGTTAAGTCAAATGACACTGCTGGTCCTGCTCACACTGCCCTACCCTATGCTTTGACTTCTTTCTCCCCTCTCTCTCCATATAAAATCTTGCGACTTGTGACTGCAGGCCGCCCAACAACCTGCCCGCTTGACCCTATCCCCTCCTCTCTTCTACAGACCATCTACGGTGACCTTCTCCCCTTCCTCACCTCGCTGATCAACTCATCCTTGACCGCTGGCTATGTCCCTTCCGTCTTCAAGAGAGCGAGAGTTGCACCCCTTCTCAAAAAAACAACACTCGATCCCTCTGATGTCAACAACTACAGACCAGTATCCCTTCTTTATTTTCTCTCCAAAACTATTGAGCGTGCCGTCTTTAGCCAACTCTCTTGCTATCTCTCTCAGAATGACCTTCTTGATCCAAACCAGTCAGGTTTCAAGACTGGTCATTCAACTGAGACTGCTCTTCTCTGTGTCACGGAGGCTCTCCGCACTGCTAAAGCTAACTCTCTCTCCTCTGCTCTTGTCCTTCTAGACCTGTCTGCTGCCTTTGATACTGTGAACCATCAGGGTCCTCCTCTCCACCCTCTCCGAGCTGGGCATCTCCGGCACGGCTCACTCTTGGATTGCGTCCTACCTGACCGGTCGCTCCTACCAAGTGGCGTGGCGAGAAGCTGTCTCCGCACCACGTGCTCTCACCACTGGTGTCCCCCAGGGCTCAGTTCTAGGCCCTCTCCTATTCTCGCTATACACCAAGTCACTTGGCTCTGTCATATCCTCACATGGCCTCTCCTATCATTGCTACGCTGACGACACACAACTAATCTTCTCCTTTCCCCCTTCTGATAACCAGGTGGCGAATCGCATCTCTGCATGTCTGGCAGACATATCAGTATGGATGACGGATCACCACCTCAAGCTGAACCTTGGCAAGACGGAGCTGCTCTTCCTCCCGGGGAAGGACTGCCTGTTCCATGATCTCGCCATCACGGTTGACAACTCCGTTGTGTCCTCCTCCCAGAGTGCGAAGAGCCTTGGCGTGACCCTGGACAACACCCTGTCGTTCTCCGCTAACATCAAGGCGGTGACCCGATCCTGTAGGTTCACGCTCTACAACATTCGAAGAGTACGACCCTGCCTTACACAGGAAGCGGCACAGGTCCTAATCCAGGCACTTGTCATCTCCCGTCTGGATTACTGCAACTCGCTGTTGGATGGGCTCCCTGCCTGTGCCATTAAACCCCTGCAACTCATCCAGAATGCCGCAGCCCGTCTGGTGTTCAACCTTCCCAAGTTTTCTCACGTCACCCCCCTCCTCCGCACACTCCACTGGCTTCCAGTTGAAGCTCGCATCTGTTACAAGACCATGGTGCTTGCCTATGGAGCTGTGAGGGGAACGGCACCTCCGTACCTTCAGGCTCTGATCATTGCGTTCATCCACCTCTGGCCTGCTGGCTCCCCTTCCTCTGCGGAAGCATAGTTCCCGCTCAGCCCAGTCAAAACTGTTCGCTGCTCTGGCACCCCAATGGTGGAACAAGCTCCCTCACGACGCCAGGACAGCGGAGTCACTCACCACCTTCCGGAGACATTTGAAACCCCACCTCTTTAAGGAATACCTGGGATAGGATAAAGTAATCATTCTACCCCTCCCTTACCCCCCCAAAAAATAACATAAAAATAATAATTTAAAAAATGAATAAAAAAAATAAGAAAACAAAAAAAAACACATTGTAAAGTGGTTATCCCACTGGCTATAAGGTGAATGCACCAATTTGTAAGTCGCTCTGGATAAGAGCGTCTGCTAAATTACTATTCCCAATGAGAATGACCGTGCAGCGTTGGTGAAATTATACGAATTGTTTGGAAAAGTGGAAGGAAAAATGCATCAGACTTTGTGTGAATGGTTTAGTGCGTCAAAATCAGAATCTGTATTTTTTGTGAATTCGGATGATAAGATCGCAATGCAGTTGGTTAGAAAATACCTTAAGGCATAGAAAACATCCCACCACAAGCTAACTCCGATTTGGCTTTGTCATAACTGAGAAAAACAAAGCATCGGAGAGACTGGAAATAAATTAAAAAAACACATCAGAGAGTTATCTACATGAATAGTGCACTAAAAGGTCCTTACTTGTCCTTGGCTTCCTTGAACTTCATGTGTCCACTGGGTTTGTCCCACTTGGCCCTCTCTGTATCCCCACTGTCCCCTTTGTCCTTGAGCTTGTCAGAGTCCACGTCATCGTCCCGGTCACTCTTCTTTAGGAGCTGAGGCAAGCCCAAAACACACTTACTGCCCAACAACTACTAACAGTTATTAGCAAAACACAGTCACTAACTATCTATTCTCTCGTCAAAGCCTTAAAGGGCTTATAAATTAATTATATTTGATTCTTGAAGAATAACTTAAAAATGTCTCATGAGCTTAATTCAACGCTCGTACCCAATCAGAACCCAAAATATATTTTTGTTTTACTCCAATGTTTGTAAACAAAGTAAATGTACACAAACACTATAGCCTCAAAACATGGTTAAAACTCAAATTTTGGTCAGTCCTTGCAAAATTATCTTTGAATTTGAGAGTGATTGTTTTTTACCGAAACAGGGGCTGGGAGGGTGATTTGTTATTGTTTTTACTGCTGATTGCCGCTTTAACTCTGGGTCCCGAGATTACTATCTAACTAATACTTAAGACTAACTAAATCCAGCACACAAAGGGCTTCCTAAAAGCTTGAATTTAGTGAATGTGCATATACCACTCAAAATGTTTTTGGATTTGAACTTTGTTTCAAAAGAACCAGTGACCACCTTGATCTTGATCTCCTTCTCCGACAGTTTCTTCACTTTATCTGCCTCCTTGCGCTTGCGTCTCTCCTCCTCCCTCCGCTTCCTTTTGTCCTCCTCCCTCTGGCGTTTCTTCTCCATCTCCCTGCGTCGACGCTCCTCTCTCTTTTCCTCTCTTATCCTCTGCAGAAAAATTGCATCTCATTGTGAGAGTTGATCTACAGTGGTTCCTAAATTCAAAGTTTCAAGTTTAGGCTGCAGAGCATTGAGGTAGATTGTGGTATAGTGCGGTACACTATCTCCCCCACCACAAGGGGGAGCTAGAACACTGATTATGCTTTTGGGTTCGGTGTAAAGCATTGGTACCCAGGCGCTAACTTGTCTCTCTTCTCACTGAATGAACGACGTGAATTGATGAATGGGTAATAGAAACCACATAGAAACTGATAATTGCCTCTTGAATTCACAATTTAATTTTAATAAACTGAATGATGAGGATGAAGAAGAAGAGGGTGATTGCATTTAGAACAATAGTGTAAGAATTGCTCTTCCTCTGTCCCGCATACACACCCAGAAAAATACACCTATTTTTTTTTCTTCTACTTCGTCAGAAGAAGCTGAAACTGGACCGTAGCCTATTACTTACTATAACTGTTGTTACACTGTAATGCTTTTACTGTAAGACAAACTAAAAATGTTCTGTTATATTCCATTATGTTCTTAGAATATATGTGCTGACTGAATATACGCGAGTGATGTCTCCTAAATGAATAAGTTGATGGCGCAGCCATATAGCCTCGGCTACTAAGCCCGGATCAATAAAACTCAAAACCTGCTATTCGGTTATATTGAAATACATTGTCATAGCATCCTGTTTTTTATGACCATCCTAAACGAAAGCATCATATGAAGCACACAGCGCAGAGTTGTTCTTTGTTGATATGAAGAAGAAACCGAATGACAGAGAGTCCAGCGAGGACAAACCGACAGGCTGTATGGGCCTCATTTATGCACATTGTGGATACGGAGGGGGGAAAAAGGTTTCACATTTTGTTTTATTTATACAATTTACTAGTGGAATGTTACCGAATAGATAACAACAATATAAAAGAAGCATCTGGTGGCATTGGTAAAGAGTCAGGCGGAGAATGTTGTGAAAGCGCACTGTAAGTACGCTACAAAGCTGTGGGTCAGGTGTAAACCGTTTGGCAGCCGTACCTATTCATTCAATAAATTGGAATACAAAAGAAGCCATCCACCCTTGATGGTCTATCAGCAGGACAATAGACTCTTGACGCCGAGTTGATTTATATTTTTAGGGACTTGAGATCAAGAAGAGAGGGTAGGAGGAGCGAGCGTGGTGTGCTTATCACAGTGCGTGTATCAAACATGTGAACAATCTTTTTTTTGACCATTTGGAACAGTGTAAACAATACAACAAATACAATAATAACTTACAAACAATGTTTTATCTGTTCTAAGATTAAAAACAGTCGCATGCATTCGTGAATGCAATTCCTTTAGTCGACATGTTGCGGTTTATTTATTGTTTACTTATTCAAGGCTCCCTTTGTTATTTGGGTTTTATAAATAAATCTACAGCATGTGTCAAACTCATTCCACGGAGAGCCGAGTGTCTGCGGGTTTTCACTCCTCCCTTGTACTTGATTGATGAATTAAGGTCACTAATTAGTTTAAAAAATCCCCTCACCTGGTTGTCTTGGTCTTAATTGAAAGGAAAAACCAAAAACACACTAGGCTCTCCATGGAGTGAGTTTGACACCCTTGATCTACAGTATTTGTTCATCAACATCTTTGTGTTTTCGTTAATAAAATAATGATAAAAAAGTATGTTTTAAAATGCAGATGTTTATTTCAACTACATTTTAACAACATTTTAGTTGCACTTCCCCTCCACGACCATGGGTAAAACCTTGCTGAGATTATCAATGTATTTGTTGCATTGTCAGTTTCTCGAGGTAAAACGTCTTCTCGAGCCAAAACTCTTGTAGGCTTGGTAGAATTATGGATGAATGTTTTCAGTTGATACAAAAAAAACGGTTAGATATACTGTAGGCCTATCCAGCTGTAGGTGACACTTTATTTAATTTAATTTAATATGCCATTTAGCAGACGCTTTTATCCAAAGCGACTTATCCTTTGGAACCACACAATTACCAGGTGAAGAGTAGGCTGTTTGCCTGCCTCCAAGGCGAGTGTGGCCTCTTTGAAGCGATAGAGGAAATCAACAACATCCCCAAGCACTCTTTCACAATAGCTGTCCTTCGGTTATGTTTTGCGCTGGGAACTGTCCCACTCCGTGGTGAATAGCACCCTCTCCACAAGCACCCACTCTTTGTTTATGTAATGGGCTGTAAGGAACAAGTATCCTTTTTTTCCGAAAATCATCAGTCTACTTGTCGAGTGTAATTGCGCCATCACCCTAGTTCTCTCTCAACTCCAGGACTACCCGCCAACTGATTTTTGGGCTGTTGAGTCTGTTCTTCTTTATATATATTCATGGTAATTCACTACGAATCTGTATTCTGGCAAGACTCTACAGTGCGAGAGCAGAGGGACTCTGGGACAACAATAGAAATAAGCATCTGGTGGCATCTTGATTTACAGAATTTCCCTCATTTAGACAACAAATGTGCAAAAGTATACCAATTAGCGGGAGAGATAGGGGCATCTTCTTGTCGCGCAGTGCTGAAGTTTATAATGGCTGTCAGCCAAAACCCATACAGTGCTGTGAATTGGAGAACGGGCTACAACTAAAATAATCGTAAATAAAGGCCAAGATATAATATCAATGGAATGAGAATAGAACGAGTCACATTTGAATTGAAACGCACAGATTTCGGCCTTTAACCGTCTGAATATGTCATACAATATTCTGCCCATATTGGGACTCGGCTTGATCTTCTTCCTTTTTTCTTCCTATAGGTTTACAATGAAATATATAATTCCATTTTAATCATGAAGTGTATTCACAAATTGCATGGCATGGTGATCTCGAAAGGAGCATTAACGGCAAGCACCATAAAATGCTGTATGTCCACTATATAGGCCATTTACTGCGATGTGGCCTCCGCAGAAGTCAGAGCAAACATACTTTTTTGCACATAGCAGAGCAGCGCAGACCTGTTGTGAAGGAAGCTTTGGTGTTTGGTATTTATTAGGATCCCCAAAAGCATCAGCTACTCTTCCTGAGGTCCACATGAAACATGACATAATACATAGTCCAGAACATTATTAGTTGTCAAGGAAGTGAGTTTGTGTTTATACCGGACCTCCCGCCCTCAGCTACCGATCATGTCAATGCGGAGCTATACTGAGCCCTCTGCAATGTTACAACATTTGAGAGGTGCATGGCGATGTGGTACTGAGCTCGATTTGGCCTCTGTATGCCTTCGGATCAAGCATAAATTGGCTTTAATGCACCTTACAATACCATGGCATGCCACACTCTACCGTGGTATGACGCAACTTTTAATCGAGGAACCACTGTATATCTGGATAAGAGTCCACAAAGGACAACTATAAATTCATTATTTTTCACTGTTACATTGCTCTTACCTGCTTCTCAAGTTTCTTATTCTTGATGTACTCCAGAAGAGGTGTTGTTCTTTTGGCTGAAATTAAATCACATATAATGCAAAGTCAGATTGATTGAATGCCTGACTTATTGGTTGACTGATTGATCCTAGTACCTATGAGTTCCCTTGTCTTGGCCTCGATCTCTCCCAGCAGGGTTTCAGGGTTGGCCATGGACTTCTCCTCGTCACAGGAGTAGTTCTCCAGAAACCGACGGTACTCTGGGTCTGCGAGGGGGAGAAGGATTAGGATGAGTCAAGAAGAGGGAGGAGGTCCATCAGTCACATTGTTACCAAGGGTGTAGTGGTAAAGAAAAAGGTGGGTCAAAATATACGGTTAAAGCTTCAGATGACAGGCGGTAACGTTATCCTAAATGTAAACTCTTATGCTAAATACGCTAATTTGCTGTAATAGGTGCGTATCTCTATTCACAAAATAGAAAGGTTTGTTACTGGCATTTGTGAGCGTTCATCCCTTCACTACATCCCAGATTTGTATATTTTATATTTGTGTTATTCAGCAGATGCTGAATAATTGCATAAAGTACAATGAGGGGGCTGAAAACCCATATACTATATATGTAAAGGGAAGCATGGGTTCCAGTCTGTGTTTGTCAGTGCCAACGTGTTTTGACAACAATCAGGCATCCACGCTGTATGTCTGGATAGTTTCTGAAGAGACGAGTCCAGCACCTACCTTCTTCAATGCTTCCAGCTTTGGCATCTTTCTTTTTGAGTTTCTTCTTGGAGACTTTCTGAAAGGGTGCAAACTCTACCACAGCTGGGTACTCCTGGCCTGAGCAAATATTGACATGGAGACAGATCATCATTAGACAACACCTGACGCAATGATCAAACCATTACCATGGCACCTGGGGAAGTGAAAGGAGAATCCTCTTGTCTCGTGAGAGATTAGAACGCACACACACACACACACTGAGACATCATTGCCTTTCATTGTTCAACCTTCCCAAGTTCTCTCACGTCACCCCCCTCCTCCGCACACTCCACTGGCTTCCAGTTTAAGCTCGCATCCGCTACAAGACCATGGTGCTTGCCTATGGAGCAGTGAGGGGAACGGCACCTCTGTACCTTCAGGCTCTGATCAGTCCCTACACCCAAACGAGGGCATTGCGTTCATCCACCTCTGGCCTGCTGGCTCCCCTACCTCTGCGGAAGCATAGTTCCCGCTCAGCCCAGGCAAAACTGTTCGCTGCTCTGGCACCCCAATGGTGGAACAAGCTCCCTCACGACGCCAGGACAGCGGAGTCACTCACCACCTTCCGGAGACATTTGAAACCCCACCTCTTTAAGGAATACCTGGGATAGGATAAAGTAATCCTTCTAACCCCCCCCCCCCCCCCCCCCCAAATTGTAAAGTGGTTATCCCACTGGCTATAGGGTAAACGCACCAATTTGTGAGTCGCTCTGGCTAAGAGCGTCTGCTAAATGACGTTAATGTGCCCTTGAGCAAGGCACTTAACCCTAATTGCTCCTATAAGTCGCTCTGGATAAGAGCGTCTGCTAAATGACTAAAATGTAAATGTAAATGTTTTTGGCTATGTGTTTTAATGCATCATATATCCAGCAACACTATACGTTTACCCACTATTTACAGTGCCTTCGGAAAGTATTCAGACCCCTTGACTTTTTCCACATTTTGTTAGGTTACAGCCATATGCTAAAATTGATTTTAAAAAAAATTATAATAATCAATCTACACACGATACCCCATAATGACAAAGCAAAAACAGGTTTTTAGACATTTTTGCTAATTCATAAAAATGAAAAAAAAAAATGAAATATTACATTTACATAAGTATTCAGACCCTTTACTCAGTACTTTGTTGAAGCACCTTTGGCAGTGATTACAGCCTTGAGTCTTCTTGGGTATGACGCTACAAGCTTGGCAAACCTGTATTTGGGGTGTTTCTCCCATTCTTCTCTGCAGATCCTCTGAAGCTCTGTCAGGTTGGCTGGGGAGCATTGCTGCACAGCTATTTTCAGGTCTCTCCAGAGATGTTAGATCGGGTTCAAGTCCGGGCATTGGCTGGGCCACTCAAGGCCATTCAGATACTTGTCCCAAAGCCACTCCTGCGTTGTCTTGGCTGTGTGCTTAGGTTCGTTGTCCTGTTGGAAGGTGAACCTTCGCCCCAGTCTGAGGTCCTGAGCGCTCTGGAGCAGGTTTTCATCAAGGATCTCTCTGTACTTTGCTCCGTTCATCTTTGCCTCGATCCTGACTAGTCTCCCAGTCCCTGCCGCTGAAAAACATCCCCACAGCATGATGCTGCCACCACCATGCTTCACCGTAGGGGATGGTGCCAGGTTTCCTCCAGACGTGACGCTTGGCATTCAGGCCAAAGACTTCAATCTTGGTTTCATCAGACCAGAGAATCTTGTTTCTCATGGTCTGAGAGTCTTTAGGTGACTTTTGGCAAACTCCAAGCAGGCTGTCATGTGCCTTTTACTGAGGAGTGGCTTCTGTCTGGCCATTCTACCATAAACGCCTGATTGGTGGAGTGCTGCAGAGATGGCTGTCCTTCTGGAAGGTTCTCCCATCTTCACAGAGGAACTCTAGAGCTCTAGATACTTATGTAAATAAGGTATTTCTGTTTTTTGTTTGAAATAAATTAGCAAGAAATTCTAGAAACCTGTTTTCACTTTGTCATTATGGGGTATTGTGTGTAGATTGCGGAGGATTGTTATTTCTTTAATCCATTTTAGAATAAGGCTGTAACGTAACAAAATGTGGAAAAGGTCAAGGGGTCTGAATACTTTCCAAAGGCACTGTACTTCTACTCACAGCACTATGTGCTCAAAAACATTGTGTAAACACTAACTACTAAGCATTAACACATTGGTAATAGGAAATATTTAGGAGAGGTTTCCCGGACACAGATTATGCCTAGTCCTGCACTAAAAAGCTAGATCGATGGAGAATCTCCATCAAAAATACATTTTAGTCCAGGACTAGGCATAATCTGTGTCCAGGAAACCTCCCCATCATGTTTGAATTATAAATCTACATAAAAATTATACCTTTGTTATCAATGAAAACATAGCCATCAAAGCGGTCTCTGAAGAGCAGGATGTCCTCTGGGTTTTTGAAGTTGATGTAAGCTCTGGAGAACAAGTGTGGGTAGAGGCTGCATGGAATTAACAGGTTGTTTTAGAAAGCAATTCCATCAGTGCAGCCTATCTAAAATGTGGGGTTAAAAGGGGGTGACGCCACAGGTATGATGATGACATATTCTCTGATACACCCTGCTTTTAGGTGGTAACCTAATGATTAGATTGCTGTGCTAGTGTCTTAGCTTTGTTTTGGCAAGATCATTTAGAATTCATCCACTCAGGCTGAATCGTCCTTAACAGCAAAGATGGTATGGACTTTACTAACCAAGGTTAGGTGAAGCCAATTGTTTGATAACTGTGGGGAATGTCAATATCATGATGTTGGCATCACACAATGCAGAATGAATTTGAGAAAAACACTGATCTGTGGAGGCACCCTGTCCCAACACATGGAGTCATTGCATTAAGTAGCTTACTAAATATTCACCTTTGATCAGCAGGGAAGAACTCGAAGTAGTCATAGGATGGAAGAGGACTGAGCTGTTCTTCCAGCTGGTCCTTGGACAGGTTGGGTGGCAGTCGCCTTATTACTACCTGGAACCGAGAAGGACATACACAAATACAAAATAGTGGGTTGAAATTACACCAGAATTGGGAAGACACCAAAGACATTCATGGTCACGTTAATAGTTGGATGGAATTTACTCTTTATCATTGGGTAACTGTGCGTCTCGGTTGTTTGATTACATAATGACGATGTTTTCATATCTAGTTATAGACAACTACCATTGCCTTGACAGGTAGACCTAAATAGTCGATAATACACAAGCGTGCGCTTGTTTACAGGCGGGTATTTATGTTCATTGAACTGAGCAATGTGCTGTAGGCTATCTTTGCGGCACAGGTGCACAGCCAATACCTTCGCCGCTTTATCAACATAGCGTAGCATAAGCTACAGTAGCTTTACATGCATATGATCGTACAGCAAACAGACATATTACTGAGTTCAAACAAAGGCCTACGATATCAGATACACTACATATACAAAAATATGTGGACGCCTCTTCAAATGACTGGAATCTGCTATTTCAGCCACATTCGTTGCTGACATGTGTATAAAATCCAGCACACGGCCGTGCAATCTTCATAGACAAACATTGGCAGTATTGTGGCCTTACTAAAGAGCTCAGTGGCTTTCAACATGGCACTGTCATAGGATGCCACCTTTCCATCATCAAACTGCTGCCCTGCTAGAGCTGCCCCAGTCAACTGTAAGTGCTGTTATTGTGAAGGAAACGTCTAGGAGCAACAACAGCTCAAGAGCGAAGTGGTAGGCCACACAAGCTCACAGAACGGGACCACAGAGTGTTGAAGCTCGTAGTGCGTACAAATCGTCTGTCCTCGGTTGCAACACTCACTACCGAGTTCCAAACTGCATCTGGAAGCAACGTCAGCTCAAGAACTGTTCGTCGGGAGCTTCATGAAATGGGTTTCCATGGTCGAGCAGCCTAAAACAAGCCTAAAATCACCATGCGCAATGACAAGCGTCGGCTGGAGTTGTGTAAAGCTCGCCGCCATTGGACTCTAGAGCAGTGGAAATGCGTTCTATGGGGTGATGAATCATGTTTCACCATCTGGCAGTCCGATGGACGAATTTGGGTTTGGCAGATACCAGGAGAACGCTACCTGCCCGAACGCATAGTGCCAACTGTAAAGTTTGGTGGAGGAGGAATAATGGTCTGGGGCTGTTTTTCATGGTTGGGCTAGGCCCCTTAGTTCCAGTAACATTCTAGACGATTATGTGCTTCCAACTTTGTGGCAACAGTTTGGAGAAGGCCCTTTCCTGTTTCAGCATGACAATGCCCTCATGCACAAAGTCAGGTCCATACAGAAATGGTGTGTCGAGATCGGTGTGGAAGAACTTGACTGGCCTGCACAGAGCCCTGACCTCAACCCCATCAAACACCATTGGGATGAATTGGTACGCCGACTGCGAGCCAAGCAGCAATGTTCCAAGTGAAAAGCCTTCCCAGAAGAGTGGAGGCTGTTATAGCAGCAAAGGGGGGACCAACTCAATATTATTGACTTTGGAATGAGCTGTTCAACGAGCAAGTGTCCACATACTTTTGGTCATGTAATGTATGTTGTTCTTGACATATACTGCATGCGCCTAATGCAGATCGTTACAAAATGTGGGAGGCGCACGGCGATGCAGTACAGAGAGCTCAATTTAGCCTCTGTGTGCCTTCTGGAGGCTCCGTAAATGCGTCACACCCTCCATAAGGAGCCTCAGACAACATTTTCGGATCAAGAATACATTGACTCTAAGCATACGGCTCGCGTTCGCTGTCTGTGGTGCTGATTATGTTGCCACGTCCATATCTGCGGCCGACTGCAATACCAAACACGCCATCACAGCGCTCTGCCTACCTTAGTAAATACCTCCTTCTTCTCTTCTTTCTGCTTTGAGTTGACAGAGACGGCGTCCTGTTCCCTCGGAATGTCTCTAAGTTGTATCTCGACGACACTTTTCTCCCTGCCTCCGGGCATTTGGTCCTTTTCAGACCGCATCTTTCTCCATCTCTCTCCCTCTCCTGTGGAAGTGACAATGTCCCCTCGCGAGAGTTCTAAGCCAAGTACCGCGAGTCTTCTTCAGCAGAGGCGCTGTCTGCAAGAGCTGGTTGCTGTGTTGTTTATGCCGTGCGCTCTTCAAATTTTTTGAGAAAATACCTATTCAAAAATACGTTATTAATATACAATAAGTGCGACTTCAGTAGTTTATTGTTTTATTCATTTATCATTCAGATGTTAAAAACAGTCTTTAAAATTCAAATGTTATTTGTCACATGCGCAAAATACAACAGGTATACAACCTTACAGTGAAATGCCTACTTACAAACCCTTAACCAACAATGCAGTTTTAAGAAAGAATACCTAAAAAAAATGAATAAAGCTAACAAATAATTAAAGAGCAGCAGTAAAATAACAATAGTGAGGCTATATACAGGGGGTACCGGTACCTAGTCAATGTGCGGGGGCACAGGTTAGTTGAGGTTATTGAGGTCATATGTACATGTAGGTAGAGTTATTAAAGTGATAATAAACAGAGAGTAGCAACAGCGTAAAAGAGGGGGAGGGGGGTGGGATGTAATGCAAATAGTCTGGGTAGCCATTTGATTAGATGTACAGGAGTCTTATGGCTTGGGGGTAGAAGCTATTTAGAAGCCTCTTGGACCTCGACTTGGCGCTCCGGTACAGTTTGCCATGCGGTAGCAGAGAGAACAGTCTATGACTAGGGTGACTTGAGTCTTTGACCATTTTTAGGGCCTTCCTCTGACACCGCCTGGTATAGAGGTCCTGGATAGCAGGAAGCTTGGCCCCAGTGATGTATTGGGCCGTATGCACTACCCTCTGTAGTGCCTTGTGGTCGGAGGCCGAGCAGTTGCCATACCAGGCAGTGATGCAACCGGCGCATCCTGACTGGTTGTATCACTGCCTGGTATGGCAACTGCTCGGTCTGAGCTGCGAATAGGCCTATATTATGTTGGTAGGCTGGTCGCTGGTGTGCGGGATGTGTGAGGAAGTAGGTCTACTGCATCTGAATAAGATGTTTTAAGAAATATTGTGTTCTTTCCCGGGAGATTCTTGGCAATAAACGATAACATCAGTGACATTCATAAGGGAAATCAACATTCCCAAAACTTGAAATTCTTAAGAAAGTAAAACAAGTATTTTGATTCCTCATAGACCTCAGTGCGTCGACCGTGTGTATGTTTTGCAGGCAGAGTCCTACAGTTATGCCTCGATCAGACCGACAGTGACATTGGATTTTCGTTCTCCAGAAGTAGTCTACATTCATTTCCAATGGAGCGCTGTGTTTGCCTTGCAGCATTGCATTGCAGGGGCAGTTGCAGTGCGTTCTGTGTTCTGTGTGGTGCATACGTTGGATTTATCCAATGTATGCATCAAATTGTATGTGTAGACTTGACATAAATAGTGGATGTTGAACTTTTGTTGCACACATATCCACAAAAAAATTTACATAATGAAAATGTTTGTTACTCAGCAAAAAGTTACTCAGCATTGATGCAATAACGCTGTCTGTATGATCAAGCCGTTACATCTCATCACACCTACATCTCATTGCGTTTTGGTACACCAGAAGTACATTTATTTTCAATGGAATGTTTGCCTTGCAGCATTGCTTTGCAGAGACAGTTGCAGTGTGTTGGATTTATTAAACTTATGCCTCGATCACACCGATAGTGTAAGGTTCTGTACTTATTTTGTGTTCTGGAACGTAGCCCTGTCTTTCATTTTTGTTCATTGATTTCACCTGTGTTAGTTACTCACCTGGTCTCATCAGCTCCTTATTTAGTTCAGTTCTTTCTGTTTGTGCCTTGTGAGGTATTGTTCGTTTTGACTCTACTAAGCCTTTTCCTAGCTCGTTTGTGAGAACCAGGTATAGCCTTCAGATGTTGAACTTTTGTTGCACCCATATCCAGATGATGCTGCGTACCATTTTGCGCAATGACGCTGTAGGTTTGTACAAGGTGTAAAGAGCATCCCACTGGGCAAAAACTGGTTGAATCCATGTTGTTTTCACATAATTTCAACCAGAAAATTCAATGTAATGACGTTGAATCAATGTGGAAAACTGGATTTGCTGATATTCATCTACGTAAGGAAATGTAGTATTTTTTTCACCCAACTTTTAACCAATGGACATGGTGATTTTTGTTGTTGTTGAATTCACGTTAGTTGACAACTCAACCAAATGTAAATCAAAGCTAGACATTGAGCTGACGTCGGTGCCCAGTGGGACATCTGTCTCAGCAGACTGTCCCCCGTCTGTCACCTCTAGTCGCATGTGGGAGTCTCATCACTGTCTGAGTCGCTGTCTCTGTCGCTGCAGCTGGGCTATTTATCCAATGTTATCATGATTTGTTATGAGATATATTATAGTTTAGTAATCTACAATGACCTGGTGGTGTAAAAGTCTAATAATTACATTATCTTCCACATTCCTACATAGATACCTTGCAACTGGAGATTGCTTCAAGACGAATGCCTACAGTAACTATGTAGGGCACTGCACTGTTGGGTGCATCATCACAAGTGTGACCACGGCCATCTGGGACTGCCTCGTGGGGGAATTCATGCCTGTCTCAACCAAGGATGACTGGAGGCCCATCGCTACGGGCTTTGAAAAACAGTGGAACATTCCTAATTGTCTGGGATCAGTGGGTGGCAAGCATGTGTCCTGCAAGCTAACCCAAACTCTGGCTCCCTGTTCCACAACTACAAAGGGACATTCTCCATTGTCCTCTTGGCGGTTGTGGATGCCAATTACCTCTTCCGGGTAGTGGATGTTGGCAGCTACGGGAGGACGAGCGACGGAGGCACTCTGGCCAACTCTGCCTTTGGTTAGGTCCTCAGAGATCGCACCCGGGACCTCCCTGAAGACAGACTGATTCCTGGAGCAGAGCACCAGGGACCTCAGCCCCATGTGTTCGTCAGAGACGAGGCCTTTCCTCTCCGGAGAAACATCATGCAGCCTTTCCCTGGAGCGAACATCCCCTGGAGGAACAGGGTCTTCAACTACCGACCTCTCCCGAGCCAGGCTGACCATCGAGTGCACCAGATGTACCGGCGAGTCATCGGGGTCCACCCTGCTAACGCAGAGGGGTGTGTGAAGGCTACCTGTGTCCTGAATAACTTCATGAGAATGGACACGAGGACCAGGAGGGGACCTGCAGCTCGCCGCCGTGTGCCAGAGGAGAGATCTGCAGGATGTTGCATGGATGGGGGCCAACAACACAGCACGGAAGGCAATCCGTGTGCGGGAGGCCTTCACCGCCTACTTCTCCGAGCTTGTTCCCCGGCAACACCTTGTGCCATAGACTACACTATGCAAAACCAAAGGCTCTTTTTTAAAGAGCCACCCACATTGCAATAAAAATAGTATTCTTCCTTTTATATCAACTGCAGTTACTCAATTCCCAGTTTCTCTCCCTTTTCATTTCTAGTTCTCAGATGATGGTAGGTAAGGGTGAGGTATAAAAAAAACAAAATGGCTCTTTTAAGTCACCCATATTGTAAAATTGTTGAACACTTAGACAACCTGCAAACCACATCTACACATTCAGGCCAACTTGGAGCCCAAGGCTGTGTAGAAGACACCGCTAGAGACGCTATTATGTAATTGTGACGACCTGAGAAAATATGAAGTTCAGAAGCACTGCACCTTTGTTCTTATCGCTTTCCCTTTGTCTGTCTTTGACACTCTTTCTCGACACCTTTCTCCCCATCTTCTCTTTCTTCCTCTCTCTGTTTTTATAATCACTCATATAATCACCAGATGTGCTATGAAGTACATATTGAACTTGTATACAATTATAATATTTGCAATACATGTATGGATAACGCTTGGATAATGAACTTCTGGTCCCGCTTTAAATGACGTTCAGCTTATAAAGGCTTCACAAGCCTTCATAATGCCTTCATAAGCACTACAGAAATGTGTTACAAAGCATCTATAACCATATGTAACACTTTATAAAGGGTTAATAAATGTGGCATAACTGTGTGACATAACCACAAATGTCAAATATGACATAACCCACTATGTTGAATATGATATAAACATGTGCTTTATGAAGGGTGACATGCTGTGCTGAAGGATGGCATACGCTCTGAAGTGAAGTCATGTTAGTCACATTACACCTAATCTCGTTCCGAGACACTTCCACCCAAATGCACAATAGGTTTGGTGGACCAACGCATCAAACTTGGCCTTCTAGGTTAGGGTTAGGTTTAAAATCAAAATTTAAGAAGATAAATTATGGAAATGGAAATTGTTTAGCTATAATTATGACTTTGTGGCTGTGTTAACTAGTAACAACCAGGGGGAAGGTTTTTGCTAGCAAAGGACATAGCCTGATGACAAATACTTTACTCAGTATGGTCAATCCCATAGACACTCCCACTAAGGCCAACTTTGAATGGTTGATACCCAGGATTATACAGTGCCTTGCAAAAGTATTCACCCCCCTTGGCGTTTTTCCTATTTTGTTGCATTACAACCTGTAATTTAAATGGATTTTTATTTGGATTTCATGTAATGGACATACTCAAAATAGTCCAAATTGGTGAAGTGAAATTAAAAAAATTACTTGTTTCAAAATTTTCAAAAAAATAAATAACGGAAAAGTGGTGCGTGCATATGTATTCACCCCCTTTGCTATGAAGCCCCTAAATAAGATCTAGTGTAACCAATTACCTTCAGAAGTCACATAATTTGTTAAATAAAGTCCACCTGTGTGCAATCTAAGTGTCACATGATCTGTCACATGATCTCAGTATATATACACCTGTTCTGAAAGGCCCCAGAGTCTGCAACACCAGTAAGCAAGAGGCACCACCAAGCAAGCGGCACCATGAAGACCAAGGAGCTCTCCAAACAGGTCAGGGACAAAGTTGTGGATAAGTACAGATCAGGGATGTGTTATAAAAAAATATCTGAAACTTTGAACATCCCACGGAGCACCATTAAAATCCATTATTAAAAAATTGAAAGAATATGGCACCATAACAAACCTGCCAAGAGAGGGC